ACCCAGCGCTGGGTTACGTATTGGGTTATTTTTAACCCAGCAGTTTTTACTGTGTACATATTGAATGATGAGCAACAGCAAAATGGCAAATTATATAGTAAATTTGACTAATAGAGCACAGGTTCTCAAACTTTTTTACATCAGTAAATGAAAGGGTCTCAAACTACAACTATGCTGACAAACATTTTTAAACAGGACTTTGTAAGTACAACTACTTTTTCAGATCTGGTAGTACTTAAAAAGGGTTGTGACTAAAACAAAATTTGAACCTCTCTTATCCATTCCCAAACCTGTATTCATGTATGTTTGGGTCCTTTTCAGCAATAATGAATGAGTTTCAAACCTTTGCCCCACCTTTCAAATGATGGGAGCTATTAAAAATAAGGTTTGGGCCTCTGGGAAGAAAGTACCTGGTTTGTACAAAAGGCATTAAATTTGACACTGGTGTAACAGGAGGAGGTGAGCTCACAAAGGACATGTTGTAAAAAACAGTAAACGGCCCACCTGAAGCATCTCTCTAGTTCGTAGATGGAGAGCATTTAAATCTTTGGAGCCTTCTGTAACTGAAACCTCTTCGAAACTTGACTTATATGAACATGCAAAGCAAAGCAAGAGGGAACATTCTGAAAGATCATATTTCTCATTTGCTACTTTAGAAGTGTGATGCCAATTACAAAGGACACTGATTGCCTCTTAACTCAATAGAACCACTTAAAAAACAAATAAACAGAATTACCTCCACGTATGGCACCACTCTGCAAGTAAACTCCCCCAACAGCCATGACTTCGTGAGCTCATGGAAAACCACCATGGGGAGGCAGAAGAAGATGAGCACAAAATCCCACACGGCCAGGTTGGCCAACAGAGAGTTGGAGATGCTTTTCATGTAGTAGTTCTGGCACACGATGCACAGGATGGCGATGTTGCCCGCTATGCCCACCAGGAAAATTACACCGGATACGCATGTGATCGCGTAAGCGCCAAAAGTTTCGGTCGTCACTGGGTAGAACGGGTTCTTGATTTCGTCTCCAAAATCCGGCGAACCAGGAGGGGTGATCGGAGTGGCATCCCACGGGTTCTCCTCCCTGAAGGTGAAAAACTCTGGCCTCTTGGTGAAGAGGTCAAACGGGAGGTCGGTGGAGGTGAGAGCCACCGGTTTGGGGACGGGTTCCCACGGAGGCATAACCACAGCGCTTCTGTTCTGCTTGTTTCTCCACCTCTTTACTGCCTTTGAGCCTCTCTGGTGCTTGTCCCCCTCCTCCGAGACCCCTCCTCCGTCTTCCCGAGCCATTGAAGAAAGCTTAGCCGCATTGTAGTGTCCACCTGCCGGCGTCCCTGCACCATTCAACTTTATCCTCTTATTATGGTGGCGCGTCGCGTCCCAGTGGGACAACCCGCCAGGATCCTCCACGGGTGTCACGCTCCTATTGAAGTCGCGTTTAGCGTGTCCGGATCGCCTCGTTTCCCCCATTGCCGCCCTCTTCCACGGCCGAGTGGAGTTAAGGGTCGCACCTGTAGCGTATCCCGGGAAGAGCGCGCGGTCTCGGGCTTTGTTTTGGCGGCTCTCCCGGGGCGGACCGTGGAAAGTCCTGCCAGAGTAGCCGCCGCTGTTACTGTCGTCTTGGCTCCCAACTTCTGCATTATTGTTTTTCAGGGATAACAACACATGTGGATGGGCGAGTATTATAACTAACGTCCAAGCCTGCAGAAACTGCATGATCCAGGAGTTATATCACCGAGCGCAGCTTTAGTCCATCCTCATGATGAGCTGCATCTGCAAACCCCGCTGCAAAAAATATCCCAAGAGCGCCGTGTCTCCGTCAGCTTTCAAAGAGTTGAGATTGTTGGATCCGGAAGGGAGTCGACAAATAACGCAGAATGATGCATTTCCAAGCCCACGGTCTGCAACATTTATTTTCCAGTTGTGCTTCTGTCTGAGTGTTAGTTCACTGGGTTGGGTCGGCAGCAGCAGCAGCGTCAATGCGGTGCAGCCGGTATGTAAAACCCGCTAGACTGTGATGCACTGGAGAGGAGGAAGAGTGAAACAAGAGGGAAAAAGAGAGGGGGGAGCGGTTGATGCGCTCTCCTTATCTTCCTTCCTTCGTTTTCTGTCCTGGTATAGGACCGTGCGCTGCAGGAAAATGGACTCCCCTGGCGGCTAACCCCGATCTGTCATCCCTCATCCATCATGGAGCATCCAGCAGCCCCGGAGCACACTACGGCTGTTGCCTCCTCCCCTCCGGCAGAGAGGAGCGTGCCACGCCCGGCAAGACGTGCTAATAAATACATTCCCCCTTCTTTTTTTTTTTTTTTTTTTTTTTTCCGGTACGTACAGGCGGCGCTGTGACACAAATTGAGCACGATTTAGGTACACAGCGTTAATTTTTGGTGGAACAAAAGCAGCGAGTGAACTTAATGAAATGCATTTGAACCCCTCGATCTTTAGCATTTTGTCATGTTCCAACTTCAAACGACAATGCATTTCATTGAGATTTTATTCGATAAACTTACACAAAGTGGTGCATAATTAGCAATAAAAATAAGTAAGATGTGACATGTTTTCCCTTCCCTTCAGTCCAACACTCATTTTATCTAGGAATGTTGCAGTAAATTTTATTTTGTATAAATTGATCATTTGAAAACCATGCATGTTTTTTTCTTGCACTTCATAATTATTCTATTTGTAAAACCCCAGAAGTTTGGTTGTAATGTGACAAGACCTGAAAATCTCAAGAGCTATAAACACTTTTTGAGAGGCACTATACCTTCTAATATTATGGCCTTTAACTGCCTTACTTTGTCTCTTACTTTTGTGTCCACATCCTCAAAATGACTGGCTTTGAGCAAAATCTTAACCAAAAGTGATCTTCATTTGTTGTCTGAGCTAATCCCACTCAACTCCAGGCAATATTGATGGTGACTGTGAAGATTTCTGCTTCAAGCATCAATAACTGGATGGGTCATATTGTACCTGAAGCCAATCAATAGCCTTATCACACTTTTTCCTGAAACCATTAATGTGAGAGACTTTCAGAAATACCCCTGAATAGGATCCAAGAGACTAAACCTAAAAATGTGACGGGAAACATTTTTAGATGGTAACCAATATTGGTAACAATATCTTGCTGCCTCATCCTCACAGTGGAATGCCATGAAGGTTATCTAAAAATAGATTATTTGAGTTTGCCTTGTAGCGTCAGGTTCAGATGATCGGCAAAGCTGTGACTGAAAACTGAAGAGTGACTGATTTAATTCCCATATCAGACACGGAATCAAAACTAGCCTTTGAATGTAACCCACACTGGGTTTCATGGTGAAAACCATAAAGACCTGTCTAAAATGTAGTAATATGTGTCCTTCTACATCCTGTATAAAGTAACACAGCATTTCAGAAGAAGAAAGTCATAACTTGCTGATAAATTATGGCAGTAATAATTCCCTTAAGCCATTGGTCTGCCACACAGATCTGAGATGCAGAATGTTACATTGACATTCACCTTGACTCTTACTTAAGACATAATCTAAACAGGCAAGTGCAAGGCTGTGTAAATGAGTGAAAGAGAGAGAAAGATAATATCCGAGTTGCTCTATCAGGTGGTCAGTGTGATGAAGAGAGTAACTACGAAATGCGGTTACTTTAAACAAAAAAACACTTCAAGAAATGGACATCTGTAGCCACAACCTATCATTAAGTACGTCCAGCGGTCAGTCAATAGTTCAGCAGACCTCTCGAGACTAAATGAAGTGAGCATTATTATCTATCAAGTGCTTTAAGTACTTTAAATGGACTCACTGCTGGAGGATAAGACCACATACATCGTACTCCTGTGGAGTAAAAGAACACACCCTTTCTGACCTGGAAGGCTGCACAGTGGAGTAAATTACATTTATACACAAGGGCGTAGGTTCGGTCTAAGTTTTGGTGGGGACCTTGGTGGGGACCTTGACACCCCCCCCCCGCAGCACAGTGAAATGCCCAAGAGCACCGAACATAACCATATCATACATCTTGTGTATACAACCAGATACAGTCATACAGAGATAATTTCACAGTATTTCATATCTGAGAACTAACACCTCACCTGGAGCCCTGAAGCTCCAGCCACCTCTCAAACGTTCTAAACTGCTCCTTGCTCTGCTGTCTGAGCATCCTATGTGAAAAAATATTACATAATTAACAGACCTATTCTACCTCTCATTCGGTGCTGACCTTACTAAACACCGGACTTTACAACAAATGCGTTGCGTGATAGATATCTAACTTATGGGTCCACTCACTACTTACAGCCGACGTAGCGAAATAACTTCTAATGTCTGTCCTTTTCTTTTTTGGTGGCGACATGGTCTCGGAGACTCATAATAAATGTCAAACTAAGAAGCTTCCGTTCCGCGCACCGCCTGTTGCTGCTAATCAAAGATCGTAGATCCACGTTCTTTGAGCCAATATGGCAAAAATTGGTCGGGACTTTTTCATATCCCGTGACATGTCCCTACCGTCCCTACCCAAACCTACGCCCATGTTTATACACCATAAAAGGTACTTTTCCCAGTTACTTTAGTTTAACGATGAATTTGTACAATATAATTCTCTTAATCAGTAACACAGCATATTGGCAGACAGACATGGACATCTCACTGGTGACCTTCTACATCAAAAAGGCAATGGAGCCAACTCCAGTCAGGGAATCGAACCCCCTCCCAACGCACAAATATCCAAACTATGCCAAGTTTCACCATGTGGAGATAATCCATAGTCAGTATGATGGATTACCTGAGCAGCTTATGATGATAATATCTGTATTTTTACCTTGGTTTGTCAGTGATGAAGGGGGTCTGGGGGGACACCAGAAGCACAGTTAATTCCTTATTTTGGCTCAGGTGAATTTTTAATAGTTCAAATGTCAAGGTAAGAGAAGGTGCAGTTAAACATACAGCGTAGGAGTCATGAGGTTTGCAGGCATTTTTCCAGTGTTGCATTTTGAATTGCAGATTAAATGTGTCCAACAGGCTATGCAGAGCATGTAATGAAAAACAAAACAATAGAATGTTTATTCTTAATCATTTTATATAAAAAAGGGCAGTTTATAGTAACGTCATTACTTTTTCTCATTTGAAAACGGCACCTTGTATTCACTTAGGTTATCTTTGTTTCATATTAAAATTTGCTTGATGAAGGAACAGGGGGAAAAAAATATTTAAGGGTGTGAATGCTTTTTTTATGGAGCTACATTTCTACCATTTTGCCACTTAATTGTATGAAAATTCTGGCCAAGCTAATTCCACAGTAAATGTTGAGCGCTTTTTGCACTCTTCACATAGAGCTGTGTGTGTGACCTTGAATGCAACAACTGTGACTCACAGAAGCATTTTAATCATTTGGAAAAAGAACAGGGCAACACTTCACATGTAATTATCATGTCTATTGTGAATGTGGTCCACAGAGACTGTGCGATTTGGCGTGTGTGGGTAGAGATAAAAAAGAAGAGCTTCTCTCTCAGACCTACTCATGCGTGGAATAACTAAATGGTTTAAACGCAAAGGGACTTTAAAGGGCACAAGCCATGTGTGTGAACAAAACATAAAAAAGGGAGGAAGTGCTTTCGTGCACAGCAGGATGTCAGGACGCACACATGTTAAAAAAAATCTTGAGTTTAGTGAGGCGTAAGCACAGCCCAAAGAACACCTCCGGGCCATAAACATTTCATGTATTTCATGGATATTTATTATGTTGTGCTCTGTGCAGAATAAATTATACACACTCAGTCACAAACAACTTGTCAAAATCGTCCATCTTGGATTTTAAAGTTGAGGCTTATGATGTTCCTCTGACGTTTCAGGTCGGATGGAGAACTTCAAAGGCTGTTCCAGTTAACTTTACCTGCTGGAAATCTCCAAACAGATGCCCAACATCAAAATCATAAACACTTCATCAATAGAGACAGACTATGCGTGTTTGAGTTATTTTTAATCATTTTAATATTGTGGCCAAAATTGACACCAAGCCCAGGGTAAATCAAATCTTTGGGTAATTGAGAAAAACATTACATTTTATTCAAGTTGAGTACTGTGTTGGACATCCATGAATTATTTACACCTTGTTGAAGTTATTTATTTTTTAGCAGGCAACCATTCTCCACATGATTTCGTATTGGCTGGAGATTTTTACAGCCCTCTTGCCCCATTGCAACAACTTAATTTGGTTCACACCAGTGGGAAACGGCTCATGACATACAGCTACAACTAAGAAGAGCAGTCGTTTCAGGTGAAACTGTGGTAGAAAGACTAATAGTCATTATGTTATAATTAACATACTACAGAAGTTATTGAAAATCATTCATTTCTTTCCTGTTTTTTTAAATCTTTATATCCACTTTGTTTAAAGGCACATTTTATGGGCTTCTGTTTCTCTGCTTACAGGGTAACACAATGGGCTGTTGCTCCTTGAGGTTTTTGCTGAAGTCACTGTTATAGCTCTATCTCTTTATGGTGAATAATGTTAAAATCCTCTGGTGTCAGCAGAAAACCATAAGAAACTCTTAGCATCGTTCCTGCTAGGCTGGAAGGCGGTGTAAGCCGTTTCTGAGCACGCTGCAGCTTGTTGATCCAATATTGCCATCTAGTGTCTTTCAGCGCACAGCTAACATGTTCTTCAGAGGAAGAAGATCTTACTGACGATCTTGAAGCGTGACTCTTATATTTACATTTTCTTTCTGTATCTTTAATTTTCCTTTATTTCCATTTACTGTATCCGAAGCGGATTACTTTTTATTTCATCACATCTTCTCCGTTCCATTATCGCCCAGCCATGCTCCGTTCTTAATCCGGGGCGAAGACAAATTACTGCAACACATTTTCAACATGTTTCACAAATTTATCTTCATTTAGTCTTTTTTTCCCTTTCATTAACTTCTCCCTCCCTCCTGGCTCTCACCTCTGTGATTAAGCACCTCTTCGTCCTCCATCTCATCTAATTCTGAACATTATTTATCACTCACTTGGTGGGAAGGTGATGCTATTAACCCATGAATAAATTATTTTCTGAAAAAAGATTAAAATTCAAAGGAAGGAATGTCTTTGAAGAGTCCTACATAAAAGCTCTAAGAGTCATTAACATGCAGACGATTCAACTCACAATGACATTCTGCAGCAAAACTAAACGTGTCCACATCGCGACGCTGCTGCCAGATATTAATTGCTTAATAGAAATCACAATATTAGCTGGATTTCTGTTGTATGATTGCTTTGAACGGCCCTGACAGGAGACACAATTACAATATATACTCTTTTCTCATTACTACCTAACCTGATTGGATGTTTGAGGATCACTGGTTCTCATAAAGACTATAAACCTTGCATTTAATGAACCAGTTAATTCATATGCCGCTTTAGCAGAATAACTTAATGAATGTATCTTTGTAGCACCAGCACCTAAAACATGTCTTTCAGAATCTTTTCATAATAAGTACAAGCCATTTTATGGCACCTACCTGAGATCCAGTTGAATACGTCCTTTC